ATATATTCGTATTGTTGTATACACATTTGTATAACTTTCCACTGTTTGTTTTTATTCGAAAAGTTACAAAATTTTAAAATAAATTCCTGTTGAATTATAATTCATACCTATTTACGAACCTATCAGCATTTCTACCTATTTCAAATAGTTAAAAAGGACATATTTTATATAATGGATATTTTTGGTATAGACCACTTTTTTGTTTTCGTCGAAATTTTCAATTACGTCGAAGTTTACATAACTAAAATCGAAATTTTCACATGAAAAATATGCAGATGTGTTTCAGGTCGACAATATTGCCCGTCTTCATATGATAATGGCATTTTTTGTTTCGACTTGAAAATTTAACAAAACTCAAAATTTTATTTGCACTACTAGCTGGATTGGATATTCTGTTTTCAAAGCGCTTTTTGTAGAAGTGGATATTTATCACCAAAGGTCTAGTGTACGTCCATAATCCGTAATAAGCACCACGGCTGTGACAATATACTTATTTGAGTTCTCCGGAAAAAAGTGTCTGATCGAATTTTCGGTTAAAAAAAATAAAAACGAATATGAAAATTTTAAGCATCTCATCAATCACATATTTATGTAATTTTACCTTAATTTGACGGTGCTTGTATCTCCTAAGATAACCGAGATCTTTATGGCTTCAAAGGAATGAACATACTATGTACATATGCCTATGCTTTCAGCATTGAAAATATTTCTTCTAGATATATGAAATTGTTACAAAATAGTTTTATTAGTAGGCGACACAATTCCTTAACTTAGTTTCGTATCCTTAGCCCTAATCTGAATTCTTTAGATCACGATTTTCGATTATAATCTGAAATCGCAGTTTTTCATTGGCTGAATTAAAAACCCGTCATAAATGTTTAAATTTAACAGTTAGCTGCTCTAATTTCAGGTTATATTCGGAAATATTGAGCAAAATAATTCGCCTTTAATTAAATGTAACCCTAAGATTACTACATAAATTTATATAAGAAAATCGAATGGGATTATTGCAGATGCAACCTTCATCACAAATGTCCGTTAGATTGCCAGAGCAATCTGTAGTACTAAATCTAGAATTATCAACATGCGTATAACATTATAGGAAAATAACTTTAAATTAAAATAGTTTCGCTGGTATTCAACAGATGGCTCTTGTGGCGTACTTTAAGTGATCAATTTAGAGTTTTATATGGTTTTATTAGAACAAACATTTCTACTAAATAGAGCGAAAAAAGACTTTTACACTTAAATATTACAGCAAATTTCATGTATTTCCTTTTGAAAAATACTTAGTAAATGAAAACCCGTGATTTCCTCAGCAAAGTCGTGAACAATTTTTTTTATATAATATCTCGAAAAATTATGATGGAATCGTCTTACTCTGTATAGAACTTTTGTAGAGAATAAAAAACCTATAAAATGGTTTTTTGTGCGACCCGATCGGTTCATTTATTGCAGCGAAAATCCGGAAAAGCCTCTAAAATAGACCTTTTGTTAAAAATTCATAACTCCGTCAAATTTGAAGCTGGAAAAAAATCGAATTGAAATCGAAAGTACGCTCGAGCCAGAGTTCTTCGCTCCCTGTTTCCCCCACTACCGCGTGGAGCGTACAGTCGATCGTTTCGGGCGATTTTCAAGGGAATTTTTAGTATATTTTTCCCATCACCCATGCGAAAATCCAAGATATACAAATTGGAGAGATTTTGTCCTTTACTTTCAAATGCCGTTTTCAGAATTATAATCGGACCATTTTTGATAAATCGCCACGCTGTGCAAAAAAGACCCTAATTTGTTTATAATGCAATTGTGCAAAAACTATGCTTCGGACAGAAACCATCTTGCGCACAATTAAACTACATATTATTATCTGTCATTTTCCGCAAGATATTTTTTCCAGCTTCAAATTTGACGGAGTTATGAATTTTTGAAGAAAGGTCTATTTTAGAGGTTTTTCCAGGTTTTACACTGTAAAAAATGAACCGATCGGGTGGCACAAAAAAACATTTTATAGGTTTTTTTGTTCTATAGAAAAGTCCTATTGAGAGTAAGACGATTCCATCATTATTTTTTCGAGATATTATAAAAAAAAATTACATTTTTTTGCAGTTTTTATTGGTTAAAAAAAATTGTTCACGACTTTGCTGGGGAAATCACTTGGGTTTCATTTACTAAGTATTTTTCAAAAGATAATACATGACATTTGCAGTAATATTTAAGTGTATCAAAAAATATCTATTGGTTGGCCTACTAAGGAAATTTAAATAATTGAACTGTGTTAAATGCATGTTAAAATAAATTTACCAGACCTTATGTTATTGTGTTCAAATGTGCGCTATTTTATTACTTTTCATATTTCTAGTTTTGTCTAGTTGGAATATTAAGTACACAGAACATAAAAATTAGATTATATAATAAAAATACCCAGTGTGGCAGCTGTAAGAGTTGATTTCTTTCATGCATTTGACTATAAATCATATACACTTATAGGAACCCAACTAACCAAAATTGTTTCACAAACATGATTTTATTACTGTTCTATCACAATATAAATCAGGAAAATGTTTATTAATCGTGCAATAATCATAGTTAAGAATAAGCTTGGATATAACACTCTTTAATACAGAAATGAATGTGTTGGCTAAATAAATACATATATTTATTTACTAAAATGTATAACAAAATTAACATTTTAATGAAATTTTATAATGTATTTACTAACTACCTACAAAGAAATCTGATAAATGGTACATATACTACTTTGAAAGGAAATATAGGACACTTAATGTTAATTACATTTATTAATATTGTAACATTGTAATAGTGGTATTTTAAAAAGTTTTGGTAGGTAATTCAAAAAATTAAATAAGTACTCCAAAAAAATCATAGAAACCTATAAATGTGTTCAATAGAGCACTATGAAAAATTAAATATACGAGCCCAGGCACATTATAGTTCCGCCAGGTATAATTTTACTACTGATATATTTAAATGAAAGTAATAATACTCTCAAAACTATTTTATTAAAGAAAGATATTAACAGAAACAAAGTGTTTTGAATTTAAATTTGAATTTTTGAATGTAATGATTCGCGGTTCAGAATAGTTCGGCCGCTTCATCAGTATTGTCAATACATCACTTTTATTAAGAATAACAGCTTTAATTCTGGCAGGCATTGTATCTACCAGCTTAGTACACTCTTCAGGAAGCGTGCGGTTCCAAATTTCTTGCAATTTGGTGCTTAGATCGTTAACTGAAATACATAGTTGGCATATGGAAACATCAATTAAAAAAAAAACAAATTGTTAACATTTGTAAATACCAGAGCTGGGTAATTCCTGGTGAAATTGTAATTAGCAATTACAATTCCCTTTTTTTTCCTGTAATTGTAATTGTATTTAAGTACTTTTTTTTATTAAAGTCATATGGAATTGTAATTGCAGCAAAATTGTTATAGGAATTGTAATTTGTAATTATATTATTTGAACTATCGAATTACAAATTACTTCTATAAGTACAAATACTTTTTCCAATTACAATTACTAAGATCATGCGTATTGTGTAATTGCGTACAGACTTGCAGACTTCTATTATTTCATTTGAGGAAAGCCTTGTGCCGCGTGAGCAATAAAAAGTGATTTGGTGAATTAACCTCAGAATTAACAGAGTACATTTTATTTTATTATAATTATTATTAATTTAGAAAATATATCTATGTGTTACTGCTCTTATTTTGAGTTGAGAAAACTTCTGGTTCGGTTACTCAGCCTTTCACTCGTACTTGTTCGATTCGTAATTTTTTTAATAATAATTATTGGTTTCCAGTCTACCCAAAACTACTGTATTCTATATTTTGCAAATGTACTAACAACCAAAAAAAAGAGCATCGGGTTGAATTAATTACCTGACCAATAATATAAAATTATCGTATGAACTGAACTAGTTTAAATTATTAGATTAGGAATAAAAATATAAAAATTCTATATTAGAAAATGAATAAGAATAATCTTTTCATTTTAGTATCAATTCTAATAAATAATAAAACGCAATATTACACAACACTTTTAATTTAAATTTTTAACTTAACTTTTTCCTTTTTCTCTATTTGGTCACTATAATTTACTTTATCATAAAAGTAATTGCTAAATCCATTTTCCATGTAACTGTAATTAAATTAATATAATTCCTTTTTTAAAGAATATACTTTGTAATTGTAATTAGTTCCTTTTTTTTAAGTAATTTGTAATTGTAACAATTTTTAAATTACAAGTAATTACCCAGCTCTGGTAAATACATAATCGTAACTGAGCAGATATTTTATTGAGCGCCCGAAAAGTTAAAAATAAAAGAATATTTAATTTGAAAGTTCATTTACGTGAAAATTTGTGTCAACATCTATAGGTGTACGCCTCTGGACTAAATTTCATTTTGATATCTCTTCAGGCTTAGGAACTATCCTCCGCCCACACACTAATGGCTGACCCGGTATTAGTTGTAAAATTATGCCTGGCCGAACTATTATCAGCCTGGGCTCATAAGTGTGTGATAAAAATTCAACATAAATAAATCCTGCATATTTAAAATATCAACTAGTGCTGTAAAATGCTCGAGAATTCTAGACAATTTTCACCAATTGCAAACGGAATTAATGAGAAATTATTTTCTTATAAAATTAAGAAATGAGAGATATTATATAGATATAAATGCGGAATCTTCTCCTATTTTCTCAAAAATCCTCATTATATTTTTCAGTATTTAAAAAAGTAATATTTAGAGTGTGGCATGCCACTTGGGTAGAGCAAAATTTGGGAAAATTCTGAAAAAATATTGTTTTGCCTTTCTGAAAATGTTAAAAGCACAATAATTTGTGTGAGGATTCGTGAATATTCTCAAACACACATTCAGAACATTCTTTCCTTTACAACACTAATCTCAACAGCTAAAAACTATATTATAGAAAAAAAAACTTAAGAAAAAACAAGACATTTATTACTTTAGTCGTTTACAAAAATATCAAAAACTTACACAATAAAATACATACATGCTTTATCACAGTTATTTCTTCCTCCATTTTGCAAAAAGCTGATGGAGTGTCTGTTGTGTTCCACTATCAGACTTAGTCCTTTTCAGCCCTATTGTTCGACAAGGTCCAATCACTTTTCGTTTTTGATTGTTTTCAACATTGGTAATATTCTAAAAAATAAAATGTCACATAAATTGTCACAGAAAGAAAAACAGATTTTAAAATATGAAAGAAATACCTTTTTTGGAGAAATTTCGTGGCATTGTTCAATTTCCATATCATAATTAATATCAGTTTTCTCTGTTTCTACTTCGATTACATCTTCACATATTGTTTCTTTTTCAACTTCGGCGAGGAAATTTACTGTAATTTCTTTTTTCTCAATAATTTCACAAACAGTATCAGTATCAGTTTCCATTTTTACTTCTATTCCATTACGTCTGATATCGTCTTGAATTTCATCTGTGTTATTTATTTCTTCCAAATTATCAGAGTCATTACTGAAATATCTACTTTTTACAATAATTTGACTATCGCTATTAGTACAGTGAAATTTGCTCAGTTTTTTCTTAATGAAAGGATTTCGCTTTAATACTGGTGAGGCATCTTTCTTAGGAGAGTCATCGTTAACGTTTTCCTCCGTTGTGTTAATCGTAATATCGTCGACTTCTTTCTTTTTGTTTGTGTAAAATTCTAATTCTTTAACTGTCCGTAAATCTTCTTCTATTTTGATTTGCTCCACATCAACATCGATTTTAGTTTCAACGTTAGTTTTCGTACTCTTAGTTGATGTAAAGAATGCTTTGAATTGTGCCTTTCGCTCAAAATGTGAAATACTTTTTTTATAAATACCAGACCATATACTATTCGAGGAACCCTAAATATAAAACACTTCAGACAAAATTAAAATATTTTCAGCGGCACTTACAGTTTCATTTGCAGGAGACCAATTATCTAGGGGTTTAAAATTATTTGGATGAATATTACCAAGAGCAACTTGATAAGCTGTTTCATGGTCAAAAATTTCTCCAGCATTTTTACAAAATTCAGGTTTTGTTCCTGTAATTTCAGGATCTACAAGAGGGACAAGCTTTTTCTTGAATGGATCAAAAACTGTTTGATGCCGAAATGTTGCATCGGCTACCAAAAAATTTTCTTTATATTCATTAGTTATTTTTAAATGCCGCATATTTAAGTACCGCGGAATTTTATCCAAAAACTAAAATTAAATTATTAAAACAAAGAACTATTGTAGAGAACATGCTTACTATTTCCGGATTCGTTTCTTCTGTTAACGACATAAATTTCAAAGCCTTTTTCAAGCCTATACCACGCAAAGATTCAATGTAATCGCATCCAGAAAGAATGCACATGTAACGAAATTTGTCAAAAGAATATCTATCGGGACGTAGACCCATAGCTGTAGGTATTTTATCAGCTTCAACAAGAGATCCACAACCTTGTAGATCTAACTTAAAAATAATCTTAGAACAACCAAATAATACTAGATCGGAATCTTCTGTTATCACAAATTCTGCTATACCTTCAAAAATTGAAAAAAATAAGAATAAAATTATGTAAAAATATAATTTCATACCTTTCAAACTAAAAAATGCTAATTGAGCGTCAGATTCATAAGGAGCCACTATACAATCTACATTAATTTTATGACATTCTTTTATTACTTCAGAGGCCATATCTGGAGTTATATTTATACTTTGCTTTAAATAAGTACGAGCCTCATCCGCTTTGCCCAAACGCAGTAATTCTGCTGCTCTTTGTTTCGCTTTGTTACGTGATTCTCTTCTTTTGGCCTCTGTATCAGCTTTTGCGGGTAAGTTTTTACCATCGAAAACCAAAATTGGCCGAATATTATAATGTTGTAACATTTTTATGTACTTCATACAGTAATTAACATACCTAAAATAAAAGTATAATATAGCTATATTCTAAACTTAGAAGAACTAGTTACTTACACTTGACTGTCTTCACCACGAGCTAGTTGGACAGCACATGCATTAGCGCCTTTGTGTAGCCAACAATATGTATCGATGGCTACAGTGGCACCTCTACATTCAGAAATGTGGCAAGGTCTTGTAGCATTTTCTAAAAATGGCAGTAAACCTGTAATACCCATTTAGAAGGCTGTCTTGAATATTCACATTAAATATTGCATTGACATAAACATGGTTATGTTAAAATACACCACTGACTATAGTATTATAGAGTCAAGTAGATTAAGTCACATTTTGGAATACTTTTATATAAAAAGATTTTTCTTCTTACGATATTTTTCTTTAAAGTCCTTGTAAAAGGAACATTAATATATTAAAATAATAAAAATGCATTCCCTCCAAATTGCAACTGACATTTAAATCTTAAATCTAATTTACAATTTACTATTCGCAATTGTCGGTACTGCCAATCTAACTCTACGAATCCCCTTCATATGGTAAGAACGTAAAAAATTACCCTAATTTTAGGCCATGGCAAAAAAGTGTTACCTATTAAAAATACTTTTACTAGTTTTTACTTATACGTCAAAGGTAGGTATCTCCTCGAAGTTTACCCGCTGATAGTTTTAGAATCTGTGAATAAAGCCAAATACTCTCAATGATTATTTGATAAAGCATACAGGGTGATTCACAACTTATCCAAAAAAATTTGGGAATAGATGCGGCATGAGAAATGGAGTCAATATTGTAAAAAAATTGTTTGTAAAATCCTTATAGTTTCTGAGAAAATAAATATTGAAGTTATAGCACATTAAACCACTACATAGCTGGACAACTGTAGTCTCTAGCATCATTCGCCACGTGGCCCAATCGTCGTTGCGATATTTACCTGTTTTCTGTGGTTTTTATAATACGTTTTTAGTAGTTGGTGTCAAAAATGGGTAGTTAGTGTCAAAAATGGTTTGCGTGTACTCGGAGTTGATGGATATCGTTTTAATTTATGGTGAAGCGTTTGTGTTATGGTGAAACAAGACATCATTTGTGTTAGTTCGTAGAAAGTGAGTAAGACGGACCCAAATGTGTTTACACGTGAGTGGATAAAATTTTGAACAATTGCTGTTGCAGCATCGGGTATGTCAAATGATTTTATTATTTAAAAACACAAATTAATTTTATTAATAATTAATAAAGGCAAAAGCATTTGAATTTGCCGATATAAAATAGGTGCGATAAAATTCTATTTACATATTTCTTTCCTTGCGAAAGTTTTTGTCCGTTTTTATCAC